AGCATAGCATGGCAAGGCATGGCATATGGCATATGACATATGGCATGGCATGGCATAGCATAGCGTAGCATGGCATGGCATGGCATATGGCATATGGCATATGGCATATGGCATATGGCATATGGCATATGGCATATGGCATAGCATGGCATAGCATGGCATGGCATGGCATGGCATGGCATGACATGGCGTGGCGTGGCGTGGCGTGGTCATACTTACTAGGCAATACTTTGAGCTCTTGTATTACAGGATCCTCATTTTCGTACTTTCCTTCAAGACAAACAGCAGTGTAGTAGATCTTTTCGTCATTCAAGGATATGTCTTGCAAAACCGTGGCCGATTTTCCTTGCTCTAGGTTTTCTTTTGTTGGGAATTTCAGACGAGAAAGGAAAGGTTTGCACATAGCGTCTTTGTCAAACGGCTTATTCAGCACTTCTGTATCTTCTATGACACCGCATGGATTCCAATTGCTACTATTCAACCAAACACCGAATTCAAAACGACGTATACTCTCGCTTGCGTTGCTGAGCTCACTGAATGTAGCGTTGTCGCCTTCGGTATAAGTAAGTGACCTTGGAACCGCGTGGCCTGCAAAAAATAGATAAAAGAAATCCAAGTTTTGAATAACTAGGGCAGGTACACAACATACAAAGACACAGCACCATAGTTAATAGATTAACTATGACACCACAAATTCAAACTGGAATCCAAGCTACAAGAGATAACATCAAAGGAAAATGAAAGCCCATCAGAATTGTCGAAAAGAACAAAGGAAAAGCCTAAAAAGATAACTTGCAAGTAGAACTACAAACAACATTTAAATTTAAACCTCTACATGGCCAATATGAAAGACAAATGAGTAAATCAGATGTTGATAAAACAAAAACAAACAAAAAAACAAACAAACCGAAACAAACAAACAAACAAACAAACAAAAAACCACAACTAGCTGCTCGGAACAGATCTTAAGTCTGAAACGGAGGGACCCATAATTGTCGCACAACACCGAGTGCCTCCTGCGAGATACTATGAAAAACACATCCTTAGTAAATATGTTGATACTATGTACGTAGAATGTGTAACGAGTATGACGAAACCATTCATCATATTGTTGCTGGGTGCCCAATACTTGCAAAAAAGGAATCCACAGAAAGACAGACGTGGCACCTACGTCTACTGGAAACTCCGTAAGCACTATGAATTTCAAGTTGAGAACAGTTGGTATGAACACCAACCAGAGCTGGAAAGTAATGGACAATGGTAATCTTAAACATGTAATTTTTTAAGTTCCGTATTTGGAAGTAGAAAAATATGGCAAATATTATACCGGATCACACAAATGTTTGCCACAAGGTTGAAAAGCAGAACAAATTCACTGTTAAAACCAAATTTATTACCAAAAATAATCAAACTATAGTTTATGTAATATAAAACTATTTGATCATGGACTAAGTATTTCCCCTGGACTCTGGACCTGGACCTCAAAATGTCCTCGGTAATTACCATGAACATATGCATCATGAGTACTATTGCAAACTTGGTCCGTTTGTTGCGCAGGGAAAAAAGCGAATTAAAAAATCCGAAAGGCATTTTATGGCTGTGGATACCACAGGTATCCAAGCAATGAGTGTTTTAAATAGTTTAATAAACTCTTAGAATTAGAGTGTTAGAGTGTTATTGATACGGGAGAGT